AGAGAGAGAGAGAGAGAGAGAGATTTACCTGGGAGAGGGGCACGAGCAGGACCAACTGTTAACAAAAGAGAGAAAAATTCGAGTTACATTAGAAATTTCGAGCACAAATACCTTTCCCTCTAAAATGAGCCAACATAAAACCACAGACATATGAATATGCACTCTGAGAGAGAGAGAAAAAAAAAAAAGTCGTAAAATTAACGTACGGCGACAGTTGCTGACAGAGAAGGTGTATACCCTGCAGGCGGAGGGCAGGGCAACGGCATTTGCCATGTTGAGATCTAAGCCCATATCACGGCTGCTTTTGAAAGACTCGCACAGGCATCGGCCGCCCGTCTCGACTCCTTCCCTCAGCACCTCGGTGAGGCCATGGCAGCACGAGGCGCTCGGCACACTCGTCGTGTTGTCCGCGGCCACGTAGCTGAGGCAGTCCGCCAGTTTCACCACGATCTCCGAGCAGTCCACCGCCGGCGCCGGAGAATGATTCTTGGCGGCCGAGAGTGCGATCAGCAGCGACAGAACGAGCGCGCAGTTTCTCAAGTCCATTGTTGCTATAGGTTGGAAAAGCGAATGTGTTTAATTTCGTTGGAATCAAACGATGGGTTTATTATTAAAACATTTTATTTTAATATTTAAATCCGATGAAAAAAATGAGAAGAAATGCTTATGAAAAGATGATTACTTTTGAAGAATGCAACGTAAATTCATTATTAATAAGAGATTTTAGGATTTGAGTGGCGATTTAGTTGCTGGTAAAAATAATTTCGGAAAGCCTTTTTTTCCTCTTAAAGAAAAATATATATATAAAAAAAGAAAATATATAAAAGATTATTATAGTCGTAGGTTAGAAATGATTGGTTACCCCACGCCTGAGTGACACCTCATTTTTTTTTGGGGACGTTCAGCTCTTTTCAAATTCGGGTCCATCTCTGGTAGTGCTTGGGTATAAATTAAATTGTTGTGATTGGAATTTTTTCAATCTCAACTTAAATTTAACTCAAATTTGATTTAATTTTAGATTCAACTCAAATTTAATTTCATTGTATAGGAGTCTCTCCGGATTAAACATGGCCATTTTCGGGTTCTTGGCCGACTATTTGGGTAAACACGAACCGGCTCGACAATGTAAATGGGCCGGTTTGGTTTACAGTTCAGAGGTTTGAACCGGTTACGACAAAGTTTTAAAAAAAAATGGGGGGTGGTGGGGGTGTTTAAAAAAATTAAAATTTGGCTTAATTGGCATATTGTAGTTAGAATATCAATTAAGTTGAAGAATTTATTAGGTAAAAAAAAAATATATTTTAACTTATAAAATCTATATATATATATAATTGCTGGCATATAACATTTAATAAAACCTATTTAATAAAACCTCTAAAGTGTTCCCTCCATTTTCGGTTACAAAATTTATCATTAATATTTATTTACTTCTCACATTAATACATCCTATTAAGTGTAATCATGTATGTTTTTATTATATTATATAATAGTTATTGTTAGTACCAACTAATAATAATTCACAATAAATATAAATTACATAATTATAAACAATTGTTTCAACGGCAAATTCAAGTTAAATCCCCCCTTCTATAATGAACTTCCAGTTCAGTCCCCTTGCAAATAAAGTTCCACTGCACTCCCTTCCCTTAATTTACATTTTCCATTTGACTCCCCCTATATAAAGTTATGTTATTATTATTCATTTATTTGTTTGCCTTTAATTCATTTTAAATCTCTCTCTCTCTTCGTCCGCTTCTCTTCTATCTCTCTCCATCCATCTCTGCTCTCTCTCTATTTGATTTTTCGTCGCCATCCATCTCTGCTCTCTCTATTCGTTCGTCGGCATCGCCATCGCCATCGCCTTCTCTGCTCTCTCTTCGTTCATCAGCATCGCCTTGCATCTTCGTCTCTCTCTCTCTCTCTCTGTCACTCGTCGTTCGCATCTCTGTGAAGACATGGCCGGTTCCAAAAAGAAATCTACATGCAAACCGTCCTCATCGACACCCACGAAGGCATTAACGAGCTCAAAGGTAATTTATGATATTTGGGCTTTGTTCATAATTTT